TACAGATTGCAGGCACTGGCAATCGTGATACACTTGGCCATGGGATTGAAGCCAGCCTGCCGTTCAAATTCTTGCTGAAAAGCTTCACACCCCGCTTTCAACAGAGCCACATCCGATTTGCAATAGTCAATCATTTCTTGACGGAAATCAAAGCGCACGTTACGACGGACTTGATCCGCATGCCAACGCGTCAGTTCGTCTTTCTTTTTGGCCATCATGCCCTCGGGATCGTAAAATTCCAAATCGGGGATGCGGCCCACATACTGTTGATGATCCGGGGTATTGAACAAATGGGGAAAGAAGCCCTTCTTTAATTCGGTCAAATTGAAGGTGCTGGGAAAAGAGGCGAGTGGCATGGGCAAGAAACACAACGAGTCAATGAATTTGACAGCTCCGCTCCTGAAGGACAACACTTTCGCGCCCACGGTCAGTTGATCCACCACTTCGCGTTGTTGCTGGTACAGTTCGTGCAGAATAAACATGCCGTCAATCCTTTCAAGTTGTGAAACACCACGAGAATGTTCCGCTCACTCTCGCTGTCCGGGACCTCAGTGAGATCATCCAAATCGCGCAAAAATTGTAGGGCACAGTCCTCCCCGTCCAACACATGAATAGTGGCTTCTTCACTAGACGAATAACACAACAAATTGGCCACAAACACGCCTTCTGCATTTTGCATGGCTTCAAAATCGGCATAAACAAACAGGGGAGGGGGTGGCGCCACCATGCTACCTCCCCCCTCCTCTGTTGGTTCAATCTCCTCATTCTCTACCACGGGTTGAATGTAACACTTATGATCTTGGATGGACACCCATTCTTGACACACGGGACATTTGGCGTACCCACACTTATGACGTCGATCAGGAACCACCGTGTACTGGGCTTGACACTTGAGACAGGTTTTGATGGATTGACATTGCTTGCTGACCACATGATGATGTTTGCATTGGCTGCCGTAAAACTTGCGGTGACATAGGGGGAAATACTCCGTGGGGCGGGTGCCACGCACATAATCCTGACAATCAAAGCGCCCACAAGCACGGCAGCGTCTCCCTTGACAAGTGTGACTGGTCCGATCGTTGGTGTTGAACCCTCGTTCACAGTCCAGGCAATAATAGGAGCGGTTGACAAACGCAGGAAAGGACGTGCAACCATCAAAATGATCATTGGATTTGAGTAAACGAATTGGATGAGGCGCGTCAGGTCCTTTGAAGATCAGAAAAAACGGTTTCATCCGGGTCATCACCAGCAATTGATATTGAGGCCCCAACGCCTGTTGAAATTGCCGAAGCTCTGGCAAACCACAGGGACCCTCCGCGACTCCTGCTTGCTGATGGAGTGCCTGGGCTTGACGTAACTGCACAGGACGACCACGTTTGAGATTGTCCCAGTCGCGAAACCCATCCACGCCTTGATCTTTATGGCAGTGGGCTCGCATGGTGACGATAGCGCGAGCACAACATAGGGCATCTCTGTTTTTGATGGGGATGATACATTTCTTTTTCTTATTGTCTCGATCCAGGCATAGACGTCCCACATTGCGTTGTTTATGTCGACCGGACCCTGGACCGGGCATGGAGACAAACACCACATCCACTTGGAAACCGCGATCGGGGTTGAAGGCTTCATTGCTATTCAACTTGCCAGCCAAGGTGGCCAACATCTCATCCAAACGAGCCGTGCGTTGTAAAAACTCCCCTACGGTGAAATTCTCTGTTTGATAGGCGTGGGTGAACCCGTGAGCCGTGATGGCAAAATTCACAAAATGATGGGCGGGTCGCTGCTCGCGGCCGAGTTCTGTTTCAATGGCTTGGTGTAACGCTTCGGTCAAGGCCATGCCAATATTGTCCCCAGGGACAGGATCCCGCAATTGCCGTAATTGCGCATTGAATTGTGCTCGCTCCACTACATCACGCCAGCGGCGAGTGGTACGTGAGAAACAAAGAGAGATTGTTACAACAGAAACGTGAACGGCGGGCGGCCCAGAAAAAGTTGAAACCACCCCGTCCACCTAAACCAGCTCCCACACCCGAACAGTTGACAAAAGCCCGAGAGTTCAACCGACTGGCCTGCCAGCGATATCGAGCCAAAAACGCGGCCTATGTACGCTGCTTGAATCGGGACTATTACTACAGGAACCGTGAGCACATTGTGCAACAGCAGCGAGACCGTCGTGCCAAAAATCGACAGGCCAGAGAGAGTCCATTCCAAAAGTTACGGGCGTTGGCGGACGTGTGTGCTGCCCGGTTAATTGAAATTGAGTATGGATACCCCCGGATCGAGCCAGCGACCCAAGAAAAAGCGGGACCCCGAGACCAATAAACGGAACCAAAAACTGTACCGGCAACGGCAATATGCGGCGGTGAACGGGATCGAAAAAGTGAAAACCCTTCACCGACAACGCTACCACGAACGCTTGGCGCGCATGAAAGCCAACGGGGAGTACGAGGCCTTCAAGGCCAAAAAGGTCCAGGAGGGCATGCGACGCTACCATGCCATGTCCGAGGAGCGACGGAGTGAAGTGAAACGTAGGAACGCGCAATGCCAAAAGAACTGGATGCAGAGAATGAAGGAGGAGGGGACCTACGAGGCCTACAAACATCGATTGAATGTGCGGCGGCGGGCATTGCAAGCGGAGAAAAAGCGAACCTTGGGCGAAGAAGGGTGGAGAGCCTTGCAAAAACAAAAATATGAGAAGCGGGTGGAATCGATTCGGCGTCAACGCTGCCAATGGTTGGACGAGCAATTGGACCGTCCCTTTCCCCTCCCGTGGTTGCCGTAAGACTGGGCTGAGTCTGAGCCTGAGGAGGACACTGTACAAACCCTTCGGGCGAACGCGTTGGAGCAAATGGACCAGTATTTGTAAGAACAAGAATGAGTTTATTAAACTAAGTGTTGTAACAATTCAACCATGTTGTCTTTTTATGAGTGTGTTAAGTAGTCACATGCCCAATCTCAGTTTGGTTTTCATGATGCGTCTAACAATACGCTCCGTCAGGGTTTTGCGACCAGGGAGTTGATCAATCTTGGCAATCATCTTGCGATCCGCCACCCATTTATCTTTCAATGTCTTGGCTTTATCATAATCCATGTCATGCACTTTCGCGATCCTGTCTAACCGGTTGATGCCGGGATCCCCACGGGCCAATCTTTTTTTCAAATGGGTCCCAGGTCCCATGTACTGATAGCCGGGCCAATGAAATTCAATGCCCGTCTTGTTGAGGAGGTTTTGCACATCAAATACCTTGCCCCCGCGTTGCGATCGTCGTCGTCGCCTCGGTCGGGTACGGGGCGCAGCAACACGACGTCTCCGTCCCATCACGGGGTTTTCCACGATTTCCAATCCAACGCTTTCTTGGCCAGACCGGCGGCTTTCTTTTTGGCGACCCCGCCGGCTTTTTTGCGAATCCCGCGCTTGAGCGATTTCTTGATGGAGTCCACACGTTCACTGGGGGTATCCCAGGGTTCTGTGCCAGGCTCCTCTGAAAAAAGCAACTCGTGTGCCAACTCGGCACTGCTCGGTTGGGGCGTAAACTTGAGTTTCTTTTTGGCACTGGGGGTGATGTTCGGTTTGGGCGGGACAGGTGGTTTTCTGGGCCCACCCGGCGTGGACCCTTGTTTTATACCCTGGGTCGCCTTGACCAATTGCGTAAACCACGCTTGCATAGGCCCCGCCTCAAAATCATCGTCGCCCGGGGTCGTGGCCCCTGCTGCGCTCACACCACCGGCCGGGGCCCCAAACGGTTGGCGCACTTTTTTGGTCCAATGGCGTAATTGACGGCTCACGGCTTTGAGTTGAGGCCGTTTCCAGGCATCGGGGGCATCACTGGTCAGGAGCACATGTTGTTTGGCAGCCAAATCGGCGGCTTTGGTCAAGCGGGTATCTTCCACCAATTCTTGTTTGTACTTGTCTCTTAATTGTAAAAAAGCAGGGGCGTTGCCCACCGTGGTGCTCACCATCTCGGGTTCCATGGTGCAACTGAGGTGTCTGGTCTAGCGTATGCAACGTTTATAACATCGGTAGAGTTCAGGCCAGAGGGCGCCGCCTTTTTGAGCCATCATGATGGCGCGCCGTCGTTTCACAGAATGCGCGGGTTTGGCCATGGCGCGTAAACTCTGGGCATGGGGTTTGAGCAACGTGATAGTGTGTCGGGAGCGGGGGACGGTGCCGCGGAGAGTGTTCATCACCAATTCACTGATGGCATTGATCTGATCCGCATTCGCCATCCACAACAATTCTTGTCGTTTATGTTGATTGGCTTCTTGTAAGATGCTCTTCAAGAACGGGGCTTGACGTTCCATGCGCCACGCCATGCTTAAGGTTAAGGAATTGCCACGACCCAGCTCTATTTATGGTAAATTGGGCCCCACACTGGCGACACAGTTCCCCATGATAATGCTGTTGCATACGACGTCGACATCGCTGACACAACGCGGCCTCGATCTCCTCAGTCCACTCTAACGACAACGTAATGGCCTTGCGGGGTGGTCTAGTCCGGTCGACGAAGACGGATCCTGGGTTTGTATTTCCTGAGCCACAAAGGCGAGAGAGCCATTGCCAACAGCGGTAGCCTACCTCCGCTTTGCAGACCGCGTCGACGACGTCGTTTTCGGGAGACATAACGATGCCGACGTCCATTGGGTCCACGGACCATCCTCCAACAATGTCTTGTTCCCCACCAAGCGTGTCTTTTATAGCATCCCTAGCGTTCGCAACGGAGGCAAACCCGTTCGACTTAACATCCGCTGGACCCGTCGTTTATTGGCCGCCCATTGTGCGGCACTGATCTTGCCCACTTTTTTCTTGCGCGTCGCGGCTTGAATGGCTTTTTTAGTGCCATAAGCCGCGGCACCACTCACGGCTCCAGCCGCTGCCGCCTTGGCTGCAGCAATGGCAGCGGGGATGAGGAATATTGGGAGGATACCCCCTCGTTGCTTTCGGCGTCGTTTTCGTCTACCACAATGCATGATGATCCCTTGTTTGTCCAACAGAAGACACGCCTCTTGTCTTTTATACTCTTTTTTCACATGATGGAACAATTAAACGATTCCCCCGCATAGCGTTTTCGTTTGCCGGATTCCACTTCCCGTCGGCGTTTGTCGGCAATTTTGATGGCACGCTTGGTTTGATGATCCCCGATGGCTTTGGTGATCCCATAGCCGGCTTTGAGAATCCCGATAGGCAGACCGGGCCCGACACCCCCCACTTGACCCCTTCGTCGTTTGGCAGGGGATCGACGTCGGGTCGTCGTGCGTTTGCGTTTGCGTCTAGGGGCCATACCACTTCGACATCGGCCACACATGGTTTTGGGACGGTAGAAGGAAGGACCCTGGTTTTATATCTTTTTTTTGTTCACGGGCGTCGACCCCGTCCACGGGCTCGGCCACGGCCACGGCCGCGTCCTCGGCGGGGTGGTACAGGGGGCGGACTTGGGCTGGAGGTTCGGGTAGAGGTGCGGCGCACGGAAGGTCGCCCTCCTTCTTCATACACGGTGGTGACGGTATTGGTATGCGTGATATTGCGAATGCGTCTCCCTCGAGCCCGTTCTTGAGCATCTTCATTCAACAAATCCAACCGTCGCCTTAATCCCCGCCGTCGATCGTCATCATCTTCATCCTCGTCCTCCGACGGAGGGGGGGAATCGGGGGATGGGGGAGACGGCACGCGGGGACGTCGTCGCGGTTGTTTGGCGGCGATGGTGGGACGTCCAGTGGGGGTCGTCACCGTGGAGGTGGTGGTCCTGGTCCCTGCTCCAGCACTGCGTCGGGCGGTGAGGGGACGGGAGGGAGCCGTGGTGGTCGTGGCGGTGGTGACAGGACGTGGTCTGGGTCGTCTGGAGCTGGCGGTGGTGGTGGTGGTGGCCGTGGGACGTGTTCGGGTGGACGTGGTGGGGCGGGTTTGGGTGGCTGTCGTGGTGGGAGCGGTGGTGACAGAGGGTGGTGGTGGTGGCCGGGGTGGTGCCTGTGCCTGCCACGGGTGGTAAGGTGAAGGCGTTCAAGGCATCGTCCACATTGACCGGGTAGGTCAAATTAAAATCCTCAATCTCTTGATCCAATTGGGCTCGATCGACCGGTCGGGTCAATTCAGTCACCATGTCCGTCATGCTGCTGAGGTCCTGGAGGGGAGGAGGTGCTGTGGGGGAGCCCACCCCGGCAGGCGAGAGGGTCGGGGTCTCCATGCGGACCGATAAGTCACGTTGTTGTCCGCCTTCTCTTTGCCGACGGACTCTGGCGTGTTCTCGTTGCAGTTCGTTTTCGAACGGCAGGGACATCCACGGGGAGGGTATGGACTTGCGCCTTGCCTTCTCGGGGCGTTAAATGACTCCACAAGCGGTACCGATCATCCGAGGCCGGGTGCACATCCAACATCAAATAGCCAAAGGGACGAGACGTGATGCGTTTAAATAGGCGCAGGACTTGACGCCATCGGTCGGGAAAGGCTTGCAGTAAAATGGTCCGTATGCCCGTTTGATCCCGGGGGTTCTTGAAGGCCACAATGTAATGCGCGTTGCGATTGATGGTCTTGGAGAATTTACCAGGCGGGAATAAATCTTGCGTCAAATACAAGACGGTGATGTTGCGATGATGGGAATCTTTGGTGAACAAATCCAACACTCGTTTGTCCTGTCCCCCTTCTTCCATCAGATCATCCAACACCAGCACCCCTCCGCGCGTCCGACCAAACCATTGGGTCAAATGACGGGGGTCGGGTAACCCGCGATGAAACTGAATCCCATCCTTCTTTTGCATACGGTCAAACCGGGGTTGCCATCGGTCGTACACATAGACGATTTTTTTGGGTTTGACTTGAAACACGTTGAGGTACCGTAACCATTGTTCCACTAACTCGCTCTTGCCGCTGCCCGACGGGCCAGCCACAATCACACTACTGGGGTGTCGGATCATCCTTCCCACGGTCGAGGCAGACGACGGTAATGACCCGTGGCCCCTTTGGCTGCCATTCGTTTATACTGTTTGCTACGTCCCAATTTATAACCGATTTTGGCCGCTTTGGCCAACACGCTCATGATCCCCCGCCCGTTTTGACGAAAGCGGGGTCGTCGGGAGGAAGCGCGTCGTCGTCGTCGTTGTCTGGGCATGCCGTCCAATACTCGCGGTAGAGTCGTGGCGACTCAAACTGAATTAGCCCTTCCATCGTCTCTCTTAAATGCGTTTCACTCATGGTGTCCATGTACTGTTTGAGAGAGACCCAATCCTGGTCTTGGGCCAGTTGGCGGGCCATTAACCAATGATACCCATCCCAGGCATCGACGCCTTGGACTGTGTTCACCCGCTCGATGGGGTGTAACCACCAATACAGGGTTTCTTCTAAGAGAAAGGCATCGATCACACGCTGGACATCGCCTCGCGTAATCATGATGAGATACAAATGACCACTCTTTTACAACACATCTCGTTTTATGATGTTTTTTATTTTAACACTCACAATGATTACAAAGCATAAAGGCCTGGCGGCTCACATTCTTTTGCTCCCCTTCAGGTCGGGCATCGACTTCATCTTGTAATTCTTGTTTAATCACGCGTTTCAACTGGTCGGCCACTTTCTGATCATTCAACACTAAATTGTCGCAACTCCACTGCCCCAAAAATTCTTGATACGACTGGCCCTGGGCTCGGGCTTTCAAGAAAAATAACGCATAATGGCCACAGGTCTGACTATCCAGGGCTTGCAGGGTCATGTCACTGCGGATCAGGTGCTTCCATTGACCCCACCACTGGTGCAGGTCTGGGTTGGTGTACACTTGCAGGGGTAGACCATAACTGCCAAAGACCTCGCACTTGTTCTGTTCCGTCCACAGACCCAACCAATGCTGTCCCGGTTCTCCCGCCGGATCGGTGTTGACAATGTACGCTTGACGGACGGACGTGGAGGGTGAGCGGGGTAACTGGTCCGCTGGGTACACGCCATGAAACACGCGTCGTAATTGGGGATCCTCCAGAGCCAACGTTCGCAACACAGTATCACTGAGCGCCACAAACTCCATGACCCGTGTCTTCTGTCTTCTGAGACAACCTCAGCCGTTGATGTTGTACTTTATACCTCCCAGATGGTTGATCTCATACATGTTTTCATACTCACTCCATACCAACACGGTGATGTTGTGATTGACAGCCGCAGCAAAATCAATGATCAGTCGCACATTGCCCGATTGACGGGGGTTGCGATACTGATGATCATCAGCTTTTCCACTGGGCACATTGTTGAATAGGAACAACGTGCAGTTCTTGCCTTGTCCCCAATCACCAGGCAGCAGCATAGGAATCTTGTCTTCATTGTAGGCACCCATGGCTCGTAGAAATCGATCGTACCCCAGTAGATCTTCATAGGCTTGATCTCCAGTCAGTTGCAGGGTTCTGTAAGGGTATTCTTCTCCATTCAAGGTCTGACGTATTTGAGTGACGCCAAACTTTTCAAAGGCAAAGGGGTATCGTTGTAGGTCTCCATTGAAGGTATTGGAATGCAATGACTCGACCATCACTCGGTCAGGAAATCGACCCACAAACACATTGTCTTGTTCCCATTGGGTGGTTCGTCCATCAAAGGAAAACGTGCGGATTTCGCTCCGCACCACTGGGTAGCGGGCAATCTGTTTGCCCAGTTGTCTTTCTTTCTGCAGTCTGACATAGACGCTGGCATTCAAGGTCAGTTTTCTCATCAGCAACGTGACTTTGATGTCTTCTGGGTGAATGGCTGGAAATTTCTTGGTGGTCAAGGTGCCTTTGTTCGGGGTGCTCATCAAGTAGACGGTGTTGGGGTTGAGGAAGAGTTCAAAGTCCATCTGGATATTGGGGACCAACAATTTGCCTGTTCTGAGGGGTGGCAAATGGGGTTGAATGAGGAAGGTGTGCCAATTTTCGCTCAGCAACCGGCGAGTCAAGGCACTCAATTCTGCATTCCCACTCCAATTCGCATTGGTGGGGATATCCGAATTGGCTCCTGTGGCTCCCATGATATTCACGACATTGACTGCATTGACCCATCCTTGGGGGGCTAACTTGGTGGCTCCTTCTTCTCGGCTGAAATTTACTAAGGTTTCCAGGTAGGCTCTGTAATGGTAGGTGTTGCTCTGTTCCGTCATGAGGACGCCATTCATGCTCAGGGTGATGTCTCGAAAGATGGAGTGTCCAAAATTGTTGACGCAGTACGTGCTCTTGGAATTGTTGGCATCAGACGCTGCGGTCAAATCAGCGCTCAACCCATTATACCCAGCCGCTGGATCGGTCAGACGGACTTTGACTTTGAATCGGAGGGAATTGGTATCGTAATAATCGTCGGAGCCAGGGATGGAGAACGTGATGGGCTGGATGCCCGTCAAGGCGGATTGAAACTCCACTTCCCGAGAGGCTTCGTACCGATAATCCACATCGGGCACGTCAAACAGTTGGAGCGACATAATGCGGTCTGTCCCTGGGGTTTAACGTCGTCCCCTTTTTATACCCTTTCGCCTACGTTGCCTCCTGGCTTTGGCTTGGTTGGCCCACAACACCTGCCTGAGATCCCCCTTGCCAAAGATTGTGCCCCCTTTCATCCGTTGCTGGAGCCAGCGTGTCCTTCTGGCGTTTTCTTGGTCTGCCGCGAGGACCTGCCAGGGATCCCCCATGCGCATGCGAGTGGACGTGCCAAAAATGGTGCCTCCTTTCATCTTATGTTGTTTCAAGTAGTCCGAGATCATGGGATTCGATAGGCGGGAGGAGGTGTACATCAAAGGATAGCGCGCCATCGCCGACTTGCCAAAGATGGTGCCCCCTAGTTGGTACGGCGAGATGAACCGTCCACGGGTGCGTTGCCGTCGAATGCGATTTTGCGTTTTGAGAAAGCCACCCACGCGTACCATCTTGTTTTCACAGTCCAAAGATGTCCCGTACACGTTGCGTGGCTCTTTTATAGGTATTTTGGGCGGTGCGTTTGGCTTTGTGTTTGCCCATCGTCCAGGCCATCGCGGGGGCTTTGCGTTTCAGCCCGCGGGTGAGTTGCGTACGTCGATCCGCCCACGTGTCCGCGGCACTCTTGCCTCGTTGGATATCTTGCAGTCCCGCTTGGGCTTGCTGCACGATCAGGGGTCCCGCCAGTTTGATCAAGTCTTCGGCCAGACCCTGGCCCTCTTGTTGGGTGACCACGGGCGTGTGGTATCGCGTTAAACTGCCTCCGCGCATGGTCGGTTCACGTCGAGGTGCTTTTTGGACCCTCCAGAACACGTGAATGGCTTTTTATAGCTGTTTGAGACCGATGGTCACCAGGGTTTTGCCCGGGGGTAAGATAGCTAGGGGTCCACTGGTACTGGCAATCTCCACTTCCAAGATATCCATCTGTTGTCCTCGCACTTTGATCCATTGATGGTGGAGGGGTTCCGCCGTACTTTCCCCATCGCCGGTTCTCAGCAATTGCACTTCCCGCAACAGGGGAAACTTGCCACTGCCCACTACGGTGGATTCCACGAGATCGGTATAGACCATGACGGTGCGTTTGCGGGTCCCCACCAATTTTTCAAACGAGGCATTCAGGTTGTTAAACTGCCATTCCACCATCCTGGACGGATGAAGCCTCTTATTTTTCACCACAAATGTTTGATCCATCACATCCCTGGTCAAATCCGAGGGTTGCGTCCCGGCATAATGCGCTCCTTCCCAATAATAGTCCGTTCGATTCGAGGGATCCTTGGGGGGTGTTTGGCCATCATAGGTCACGGTGGGGCAAGTGAATTGGAGATTGGGGCCCAGCACATGCCCTACCACACCTTGGGGTTGTTCGATGAAGCCAAACTTTTCCGCTACCCCTAGATCCAGGGAAAAGGCGCTCGTGGCTTTGGTCTTGTTGCCGTTTAGCAACTCTCCTTTAGGCACTGCATGCAAAATCAGGGCATTGTCTTTCCAGGTCATCATGGGCATCCAGTTCTTTTTCACACTGACAAGGGGTCGTTCATCCGCATCAAAGGTCTTGGCATAATCTTGTTCGTACATCAGTTTCTCCATGGTCGTGTTGTGCACTTCTTGCATCGCTCGTTGCCAAAACAGGCTCCCGGAGGTCACAGGATGTTTGGTACTCATGATCTCTTCCAATTCCACATAGTACTCCTTGGTCTTGAAACTGACCCGTCGATACTCCCCTAGCACATATTTGCGCGTCAAGTACGTCACACTGAACTGGATGACTTTGGTATGAGGATCCGTGGCGATGACGGCATTGCTCTGTCCTTGATCCGGGACCGTCAGCGACATCAACGAGGCATGCCACCCCTCGCCCGGTAACGACAGCCGTTCGGGCAGACGGACCTTGAAACTATTGTTGGCATTGTTGGGAAACTCGTTGGTCGCATCCCTGACGAGCGTCAGGCGTTTAATCTCGCCCATGATGAAGAGTAATCCCCTCTGAACAGGGGTAGGGTCCTTTTATAGCCACTGGTCCACTTTCTGTTTGCTGCGAGGAACGCGTCCCACCAACGAATTGAAGGTCGATTGTTTGGGATGAAAACACACTTGCTGGGCAATGTTGGGAAAGGCCCGTGCCAATTCCATCAGGGTCATGCAGGTCTTGGGTTTGGGGGGTTTCTTTGGGCGCATGGGTGGATGACGACCCGCGCGTCTGCGTTGTTTCTTTTGGGCCGCCGTGTAAGCACGGAGGGCTTGTTGACCAAAAGCGACCCCCGCCATCCTGTTGACGTTGGCTCGTCGTTGGCCGGCGGCTTTCTTGTGAATGAATTTCAGAATGTCTTCGTCGCTGGTGGGAGGGGGTGTGTAACTGGCCCGCGGTCGGCTGGACTCCGCCTGCACCTCATCCAAAAACCGCACCCGCTTTTTTCTTTTTCGAGGTGTTATTCTGACGCGGACCATGTTGCGCGGGAATCCAACTATCGTACTTGGCAGGCCACCCTTCCCACCGGACCAACACCTGGCGTCCTTGGCGTTTCAACACTTTTTCGACCCGAAATAACGAGTCGTCCGACACTTGCACTTTTTGAACATCGGGTTCGTAAAACGTGCCCTTTATAGGCGTGCCGTCCCATTCACTGAGTCTATAGGTGACGACAGGATGACGACGGACGTGCGTGACCACAAACACTTCTTCCGTCCAACCGGGCAAATACCCTTTTTTGAAGGGACGATGTTTCTGGTTGAGACGCACACGATCCCCTACTCGACATTTGGGCGGTGGGGTCGTTTGGTCCAAACGCGACCCGTAGAGTCTGTCCCACACGTCGGGCACCGTTTTGGGGGTGACTTGATGCGGGGCCATCCCAATACTGCGATGATGGGTGTGATTGTAGGTATGGATCAAGGGTTGTAACACGTCCACGTACCGTAACGTATTGTGGGCGGTGAAATAACGGTACATGCGTTGTTTCAACGTGCGATGCCATCGTTCCACCACCGAGGCCTTGCTATCCCCATACGTGGAAAAATGATGCGTCCCCTGTTTCTTGAACCAGGCTTGGACCCCTCGATTGTAGAATTCTTTGCCTTGATCCGTCTGTACGCGGAGCGGTCGCCGCGGCGAGGCTTGCTGGTAAATGCGGGTCAACCCTCGGATCATCTCGGACGTGCTTTTGGATTTGATGGGGACGGCCCAGGCATACTTGGACAGGACGTCGATCACGGTCAACAAATATTTGTTCCCTTGGTTCCATCGACTGAGTTTTTGCATGTCGACCAAATCCATCTGCCATTGTTCGCCTCGGTCAAAGACCAACGTTGGGCGCGGTAGGAAACCGCGTCCGTCGGGGTTTGTGGAGGGTATAACTCAACACCGATTGGAGAATCCGTTGCGCTTGCGGGGTTTTCAATTTATGGGCTTGGGCAAAGGGTTGGACCCCGCCCAAAGCCCCGGGTGCCTGGGGATCTTCGTAAGCGCGTGGCAACGACATCAAGACACTGACACATAATCGACTCCCATCTCTGTCTTTAATAGTTTTTTTTCACACACCTACATTTTTTCAAAACAAAACCAAGCTACCAAAGTTCTTATGCAAATGGCGCGTCCTCTCGCGCTCCCTCTCTTGGGCTTTGGCGGCTTCCCCAAACTGATTGAACCATGGCCTATTCTTCTCGATAAAATCCCTCTCTGGGCTGCTTTGGATCTCAGGGAGTGTGTCTCTCACCCATCGTCTCAGCGTGGGTTGCGCTTGCTCTCGGGGATACCATAGCGGGCCATGCAACCATTGAAAGTAGCCACAGGGGTCTTGTCCTGGGAGAAAGCTCCCACATCTGAAAAACACTTTCTGGTAATTCTTGCAATTTCATCTTGGGGACCAACCCACATTTGCACTTCAACTCCCCTCGTTGCAATCGGGCACGGACTTGAGGGTGCGTGTCTTCTTTCAATTTCTCCATCATCACTTCCCGGCTATCTTCAAACAAATACACGGGACACCCTTCTTGGGGGCACTTGACCCTCAACTGGCCAAATTGGGTCTGGGGGTTGACACAATAGATGTATTGACGAGGATGAAAGGGGCACGTTTCATACAAGAGATCGTTCAACTGGGTCTCCATCTGGTCAAGGTCGTGTTCTTCCTTGGCAGGATCGGCCTGACACGTCCCTTCTTCGACACACTCTTCCTCATAATCTTTCAGGGTTCCCTCCATCAGCTCGTCCACGGAACAAACAGGGGAGGATGTAGGGGGTGTCAGTGGGTCTGCTCGGGGCAGGGCGTTCAGGGCCAACACGAGTTCACTGGTGGGGGTTTGGGTGGCTTTCTTTTCTACGGCTAGCGCTTGGGCTTCCTCGTTCCCCTTGGGTTTCTTACTACTCACTCGGCGTCGTTTGCGTCCTGAGGGCACCGCGGCAGGTTGAGTGGCTTGACGTTCCATGCTTTGGCGGAATGACGCTGGGTGAACGTCTTGCCTGCCTTTTATAGCCCATCCTCTGGCGTCTCGTGATCCTCATAGGATCTTTTTGTCCACCAATCCTGACTCAGCCCTGGCTCTCGTGAGGGTGGTGTGATCCGTTGGTCCGCCAATCAGAGCCCACGCCTTCCGCTATAAAACCAGAGGTGGCACGACGGCTATCTCATTCATCACAGTGTTTTCCCATCCACGGTAAGTGAGTATGGCGCTCCATGAAGTGGGTCTCTTGGTATACAGTCAGGGGTTTGCCCTCTCCCGAGACGAATATATTATTCGAGAACTGGCTTTTTGTGATTGGACGGGGCATCATCATGCCCTCTTCAAATACCTGTTACCGCAGGGCGTGTCGTACGATTCATTATCCGAGGAGGCCAAGACCCGTGTCGATCGTCAAACTGGGACGGTGCATGGGTTGCCTTTTGAACCAGACACGGCGTACAACCGCCACGAATTCCATCCCTACCCTCAGATCCAGGACGATCTCACTCGTTGGTGTCAACAGTACCTTACCCCCCAACGGACTCGGCTCGGGGTGTTCACACTGAATGGTCTG